TGAGAAAAAAGATACAAGCTGACTTCAGTTTTACCATAAAGTGGAGCACCTTATTAGTTATACTCATTACGGTTGTTGGGGACATTTTAATTGTAGTTCCTATGCTTAACAAAGTATCCTGTGTAGCCATATACCACAAGAATATTAAAATATGGCCATATAAACTCACTAGATGATATCCACCTGTATACGGTTTTGCTAATTTCTTTTTTCATCATTTCTGCTGAATCAATAAATGTTTTCTTTGACATGCGGAAAAATTTAGAGAATCATAGCTACAAAGCCATGGTTCCATCATTAAAAAAAAATCTGAAAAAAACATTTCTCCCATGAATATTATGAAAGGTTTCTTATTTAAACTTTCCATATACAGTTGTAGACGAAAAAGCACCAATTATTAAGTGATAATAAAAATAATCAGAGATTATACACGCGCTTTCTAAAATAAACAACTTGGAACAAAACCGCGGTTAAAACCAACGCGTTCAAGCGATTCGTGTAACTGCGTCATCAACCCATATGTCATCTTGAACCATACTGTAACCGCGGCACATAACACAGAAATTTTGGTTATTCGCTTGGATTTGATTAATATGTAAAACTTAAAAGATATCCTTCGTATTACCGCTTGGCGACGCGACAATCGGTAATGCTTCCAAAACAGTCCTTAACCAGCAAGGAGCGGTTAAAATTAGGTCTTGTAAGGAATGGGGGAGGGTATATCTTAAATTTTTAATATTACAATGCAATCCACTTATAAGGAACTTGCTTATAATGGAAACCCGTATATAATGGACATAATTTAAAGTCCCATAAATAATTGCATGTAAAATCCTCGGATATTATAGACTCGCTTAAAATAGACCCTCCTGGCTTGTAGCGGACTGTTTGAATCCATTATATGCGAGCTATTTTGGTAATTCCCCGAACGGGAAATTGTCGACTGATGCGGCGCTTCGTTGACGAAAACAGACAGTAACTCAGCAAGGCATTCTTGTTGCGATAATTGTCTCTGAAAGTTGTAATAAATTATGGCGCGAAAATGTTCTCGGTTGAGTTCCATTTTTCTAATGACTTGGTGACACTGTAGTGAGAACACTGCACGTATTGTGGTGAAACTTTGAATTTAAGTTAACTAAAGAGTGAGGTTAAGATTCCGTACTGACGTTCGATCCGCGCGGCCTACTATGTTTCTATATGCAAAACTTAAAAGACATCTCTCGTATTAGGAGGATTATCGGTAAGTTCCCCCGTATGTTGAACTTAAGTTCAGATACAAGTAGAAACTGTGTGAATTAACTAAATGAGGGGGTTCCGACTGATTATCAAATTATTCTCCTAACTGAATAATCTGGTGTATATGATGTTCCAATCAGGATATTAGATTATGTGAAGTGGCACTCAACAACTCAGACCTTCTCGGATGGAAGACCCTCGCTTGAAACGTGCCTTTAAAATTTAGGGTAGAGAAATACTAACGGTAATATTGTTTTTGAGCCGGGCTATTTCATTTTTATGAGATGTTCCTCTAATGAACTCGCTGCTACAATATTGCTATTCCAACAATAGGATTATGAGAAATTGAAGGGTGTAATGAAATATTTGGGATAATGAATACATTAGCTTCAGACATATTATAGTCCAGTCCACAGGGATCTGTTTTATAGCTAACGGTTGTATTTTAAAAGTTCCATCCGTTGCTCTCTTCATTATACACTGCCTTAACCGGACAAACAAAATTTTGTTCAAATAACATTTGAAATAGCTTTTTAACCTTTGCAGTTAGAGGTGTCTCGTCTTCTATTGCCGTTTCTTCAGGTGTCCCTCAGGGCTCTGTCTAAGGTCCTTTACTGTATTTGATATATACTTTTGATTTACATTCATGTATTGCGCATTGTGCGGATGATACGCAGCTATCTTTTCATTTTGACTTGTCTCATCTGGATGAAGTGTCATATAAGATTAATTGTGTCACTGATGTTTGTGAAAGACACATGCTGAAGACTAATCCGGATAAGAGTACTTGCATACTTTTTTATTAAACATTTACATAATAGAGTAAGGGACAGAATTGCACGAGCTCATTCTTATTGTGGAACAAGCAAAAAATCTTAGTGTCATCTTCGACTCTAGTTTAAGATTTGACAAACATGTGTGTCATCTATCGAAGTCCACCTACATCAAATTAAGACCGCTATATGCTAATAGATTCATTTTGAACTTTAAAACGCGTAAGAAGCTAGTTGAAAGTTTGATAATGTCCGGCCTCGACTACGCTTTAACCTTATACTATCCTTGTCTTGACTCGATGAATCGGTGTAGGATCCAAAGAATACAAAACAACGATATGAATTTGAATTGTATATACATATAAGGGTGTAAGAGTAGCCATCTGGCTAAGCTTCGCCCTATTGTTGTTGCTAATAAAGGCATTTATTATTATTATTATATAACTGAACCTACCTGATCACGATTCGATTTCGCTTTTTTAAACGTTTGACTTATCCATTTTCTTCGAAACCTCCAACGAAGGCGTAGGAAGTGTAGAGTCAATCTACTTGACGCCAATTTTCATACATGAGCGTATGGTTCGCTACAGCGCCATCTAGGTGACACTAACCTTTTCAAAGTGTGGTTGGTAACCAATAGGAACAGTTACCTCTGAGGTATTTGTGGGTTGATAAATAAAAAGCAGGTTGTAGTAAATATTAACATTTACTCGGGTATAATATACTAAATTACATATTTTACAACATACATTTAAGCAATGTATAATTACAGGAAAAGAAATAGTAGAGTCTATCCCTGTGTAATATTGCACATCAATAGAGAGATCGAAAAATCCAAATACGAGGGATGTCGTTTAAGTTTTGCATGTGGAATTAAAACAACACGGTAGGTAGTTTTAAATGACTTTATTGTTTTTCAAAGTATTCTCCACGAAGATTAATACACATCTGCATGTGCTCGAACCAATTTTCGAAGCACTTAGTCTACTCGTTTGCTGGCAGATCCAAAACGGCATTTTTGAATGCGTCAACTGCTTCTTCTGGTGACTGGAACCTTTGACCACGCAGTTTGTTTTTCATTTTCGGGAAAGTAAAGAAATCGTTAGGACTTAGGTCGGTACTATATGGAGGATGGTCCAATAATTCCACGTTTTCTTCCGTTAAATACTGCCTTACTTTTTGGGCTGTGTGCGAGCCTGCATTGACTGTTGTGAAACTTTGAATTTAAGTTTACTAAAGAGTGAGGTTAAGATTCAGTACTGACGTTCGATCCGCGTGGCCTACTATGTTTCTATATGCAAAACTTCAAAGACATCCCTCGTATCAATCATGGAGCAGTTTAGGTTGTATCACCATATTTTAATTTAGAGTTAAGTCCGCACAAAGGGATCAGAAATCTGTCATCACATAATATACAATCACAATATAAATACATTTGGAATATTTACAATCTATACAAGCTTTTTCGTTCTTAATTGTAGTAATATGTATTTAACAAACATGCTACATTTTACTGTAATGTTGAAGTTTAGACCCGGACAGAGGCAGACAAAACATTTTTCCTGGACAAGAAACACAAGTCGTAACTTTTGACATTTTTCATTTCAAGACGTCAATCATAAATGTCACATTTGATTGACAATGGTGATTTTAAAATAGTGAAGTTAGGATATTTCTCACATGCATTGCTTAAAGCTAATTTCAAGATCAATTGCATACAGGGCGTTCTCAGAATGTTGTCAAGAAAAAGTCAAGTGACGAACAATACTGATAGAACCGTCATACAGTTTTTCTGTAGTAACGCTTGGTGTGATTTTCATAGGGAAATTAGTAATGTGCCTCAACTGTTGGATTCCGTGTAACTCATATGAAGAAATGTAAGCAAAATGAAACATGTTTAAAAATCTTCACATATACAAGGTGGCCAATATATAACTGACTGATTCAAATTGGACGCAGTTGGTGCAGAACAAACAGGTTAAAGGCTTGCCAAGGTCTGGCCAATCAAATGCAACAATTTAATCTGCAAAACATGTGGTTCCAGCAGGACGGAGCAACTTGTCATACAGCTAGGTAAACAATATTTCCGGAACGTTTAATTTCTCGATTTGGTGATGTCAACTGGCCACCAAGGTCACAGGATTTAACGGCTCCTGACTTTTTTTCATGGGGATTTTCTTGCTCAGGAAAAAAGTGTGACGGCATTATAGTACATGATATTCAATGCTGTCAACTTGGACAGTTTGATTATTCAAATACAGTTTTTTTTTCACATTTTTGTTCATAGATATTTTCTCAAAGACAATCATTTTTATTGAGATATTGTTAGCGAATATAAAGGATGCAGGGTCGATACTTGGGATTGTAAACTGGGTAATGGGTACGCTTTCGTTGCCTAGATGTTTTTAAAGCTGCTATGATGAATACAAAGACAGCTCCGCATCAGGGCGATTTCAGTATAGATCAGAGCATTTGTCAATTTCAAACAACGATAACAAATAGATATAGAAACACAGTCAAGAAGAAAGTACGTCCAAAAAGTCGTTATAAACATAAGGCCTAAAATGATCCTTCTCCGAGATGCAGGGTATTGCAAATTTACACACTGCAAAACTGAAGGTGTTGTATCACTTCGCTCACAATAAAAAAAGTTCAAACAAATTAATATACAGTTATAGAATTTTTTATATCGAAGCATCCGCTAAAATAATACGTTAAATATTTAAATATGGATGGACCGTGGACAAAAATGCTGAAACTGCGAAACTTTTCAGGTCAATCAAGTACTAAAATTAAAAGAAATATGTTGATATGATCCTTTTCTGGCCTATCATACTATAGTAACTTTCCAAAGTTGTTTTGGTAACTAACATGGTTTCTATACCTTTCTCACTCTATTGAAAGTATTAAAGTCCTGACCTGATACTGTTTCCGCACCAACGTGTGGTTTGATTATTACATTTGATTCCTGACATATTTTCAGTATGATGGTCACAACAGTTTCGATGAATATACCGGGACAGTCATAGGAGGCCGTATAAATGGGCTTATGAAATGGTGTATATTCCTATCACTAGGATACGAAGAACCAGATGATGTGCTTTGCGTGGACCCAGACATGAACTCCGGTTCTACACAATTTCCATTTGCTTCATGCAGTTTCCTCATGTGTTTCTTGAGGTCAAAGTTCCTACAGAAACCTTTACCACACACCCTACAAGTGAAAGGTTTCTTGTCATTGTGAGTATGCATGTGGAAAGTCAGGTTATACACTTGATGGAAAGCCTTGGAACAAACTGTGCATTTGTAGGCCTTCTCACCACTATGAGTCAACTTGTGGTTCTTGTAGTTACCCTTTTGATGGAATCCCTTGCCGCAAAACTCGCATACAAAAGGTTTGTAACCTGCGTGGATCCGAGCGTGGGTGTTCAACGTCGAAGACCTGTTAAAGGCTTTGCCACAAGTATGGCATTTGTGAGGTTTTTCCGAGGTATGAATTATTTTGTGTCTACATAAGGTAGATGCTTGCCTAAAGCCCTTTCCGCAGATCTTGCAGACAAAAGGTCTCGCGCCTGTATGTACAGGCATATGCCTAGTCAGGTTATAATGTGCGTTGAAAACCTTGCCGCACTCGCCGCACTCGAAACTTTTTTGTTTTGGGGCTAAAATGCTTGGAGAGCTGGTATTTGTAGGAGGCGAGCTAGCAGTAGCTTTCATATGAGTTTTTGAAGAGCTACTTTTTGCAGAGCTATACGCAGGTAGCGACAGAGGGCTAAGAGATGAACTGCTACCAACTGAAGGTTCTTGAGCTATCGAAGATGTATATACAGAAACAGATCCTAGCATCAACTGGCTAGGATGATGATAATACACTAAAGGGTAATTTTGTAGGATGTCTGGAGTCCTCAGCACATTGGGAACGTATTTCTTGAAAGCTGATTCGAAAGCACATGACTGAGATAGGTTGAGGACTTTGTTGCTATCGCTCTTCTCAAGGTCGTTCTTCTTAGGCTTGGTGTCTGGCTCCATGATTTTCGCTATGGAGAAGTTGAGGGTCCTTGCGGGAGGCGATGGAGCCTTTTGGGCTTCCGAATACAGCGTCGTCGATATTTCGGAAGCCATTTTGGAGCTGGTCCACCTGAAACAAGACAAACAATTGTTGAATAGTAGTGTACACAGAGTGCACAATAAGAAGGTAGAGAAACAACACAGTTTTCTGAGGCGATTTCCGGATCCATGATCAGTTGTCACTTTAATGTCAAATTAATCGGAGAAGATGAAAGCAAGAGAGTCAAAATAGTATTCAACAAAGTTAAGCAATATATGAAAAAAATGGTGTTATAGGAGGAAACTATGTGGAGCAAAGTACTATTTATCCCTAAATAAATAATCCAACACCTCTCGTGATTTGAGGGATGCGTGTTAAACCATGTCTTCGGTCATCCCTAGGCACTGTATTTCAGAAACTGTATTATATATATATATAATATCCTTGAATTTCTTTGGGTAGAAGGCAAATTATTGCAAAAGTACACTCTTAAAACTTAAACTCGAGCTTTCGAAGATCTATGTCTTCATCATCTGGAGCTGGAAGCAATTATTGACAATAGCAACAATAAACAATTAGGAGGAAAAAAATAGTTACTAAGTGGGCGAGATTGTTGCTGAAATTGTTTTTAAACAACAGTGAAGGGAACACATAGTCTACGAATAAAAAAAAAATCGTTTATTTTTTACTGTTTGCTGTTCTAATACGGTTAAATGGTCTCCATATCGACCACTCGGATCACTGGAAATCTCTTGGTTAAGAGAGTAGTTGGCAGGTGGACCGTCCAGAGTTAAACCCAGGAATCGTATGGCACTTAAGTCTCTTTGATTGGCGTTCAACTTAGAATATTTAATTCTTCCATTGTTCCATTTTTCTACGAGAGTTCGGGTCGGCAACACCGGCAGCTTTATTGAAGCTTATCGATTGGGGTACCAAGAACAACGACACGAGCCTCACCAAAAGACTGGATGAGTTTACTCTCCAGTTACGTGACGTAAGCACAGAAAGCAGGAGCTATAGATTTGTAGCAGTGTAGGCTTTAGATCATTCGACTAAACCGCTTGTTATAAAAATATTTCATTGTTCAGAGGTGAGTTGGGGGTTGCACCTACCCGTAAGCCCCTTTTGCTACAGCTATGCGGCCTACGTGTATCTTATTATCGCCGTCACTGGCTGTCACCCCCATGTTTTCGCAGATTTAAAACGAGGGTACCGAGGCAATTCGTCGGGAATAATAATTACTCATTGTGTACGAGACAGACTAAAAGTTGTATAGGACCCAGCCGCAGAAATTCTCCCCCGTGGTTTTCTTGAATTTTCTGACATATGTCGTAATTACACCCCACCTCAGCACCCTAGCTGTTTTTTTTTTATTGTGCGAACACGACTGCATCGTTCCGCCGACGCTCGACGCCGGCTAAGATGCTTTCACGGCACTTAGTCGCGTTTGTTTGTTCGCTTTTCTTTATTAAATGCGATATCGGCTGCTGCTTTGTTTCAGGGTACAAAACACTTAGCCCTCGCCCTTGCAATTTTGCGTCTACACCGCCAAGCAATAGAAGAAATCGCGTCAAGTAGATTGACTATATATTTTCTGATCCTTCTTAGGAGGTTTCAAATTTTCAATATCTGCATATCAAACTATACAGTGCTTTTCTTTAATGTCCCCTCCCCTTTGAGGTCTTGTGGCACATCATCTTGAAGCTCCTGACGCGAGTACTTTATGACTCTAGAATATAAAGACAATACCTTTACCTACTACAAAATGGTGGTACATTTAATAATTACTTGATCACAAACCCATTAACATGCATATCTCAAAAATAATTGTAATTCCCTGCCGTATTGACAGCAACAGCGATAAAAACTTGTTTTGTTATTTTTTGTTGACAGTGACAAGAATATCAGTATGAAAACAAACATCATTGTACAGTTAAAATATTCTTATTCAGTTTTCGGTTTTGGTGCTAGATACTGTTTGAACTATTTTCAAAATGGTCAATTCTCGTCTATTGGAAGAGAAAATCGAAGCGATTTTTATTTATTGTGCGACGCGTAACTTTCACGAGACCAAAAGGATTTTTAATGATCGGGTAAACAACAAAAAGCCCCCAGGTCTTCCGACCACCCCGGAAGAAAATCAAGTTAATTGGTGAGATCATAGTAAATCCCCAACAGTCTACTTTATATATATATATATATATATAACTTGAGACGTGGTCATTGTCGTCTAGACCAGTTAGGTGAAAAATTAAAGCTTCCGCCTTTTGTTGGGTACTTCGACAAAATTTAAGCAAAGAGGACTCTTTATACTTTTTTATTCTCTCTAGCTTTCGATGGACTTTACCTATCATCATCAGGAGCTGCAATTACATTGATAACAGTAGCAACAATAGTGTAAAATGAATTTAAGTTAAGTCAATATATATATATATATATATATATATATATTATATTATTATATAGATATATTAAATGTTACAATCATCCTATTGCCAACTATCTATGAGAGGAGAGTTATGAACATGTAGTAAAATGCACCCTACGCTTTTTACGCTGAATTGAATTATTCTGTTAATAACTTAAATTTTATTATAATTTTATTTTGAAGTCTTTAATATGATTGATTGTTCGACCATCTACTACTGTAATATGATATAGCTTGAGTATAGAAAATACATACAAAATCTGTACCGCGACCTGCATACGCGAATGTATGCAGCGTTTGTCGTATGCCACACGCCAATCAACCAGTACCAAAAAATGCAACGAACGAGGAAGTGTAAGACGATCCGTGTCGCGCGACACGCTCCCTGAACGAAATTCGAAACGGCATCCAAGATGTTAGGCGCGTGGACAAAGGGCTCAACGGAAGAAGGTTGTAGGGCACGTGGTGGTATGCCGGAAGAGAGCCATATGCTGGGTCATTGTGCTGCTTTGTGCTGCTTTTCATCTAATTCTGAGTCTTGGATCCGCCCGCCACGCCTGCCCGATCTTGATCTAATTGAAGAAAGGATTTTTTGTCGCATACGCAGTCACTAAGGCACTAGCAGATGCAGATATGATCGCCACCGGTTGCTGGTGGTTGCTATGGGGATACAGATGCAACGTGCAACCCATTCCAGTACCAGAGCAGCGTAAACTTGAGTCTGGCTAGATTCTGCACAGCAACTGTGTTTTCGCTCATTTTAGGCCCATATTCTGAAAGTGATCAGGTGCGTTCAAAAACCAAACCAGTAAATGGTAATCTTTACTTAATATTATAAATCAGAATGCTTGGATGTTTGTTACCTAGTCACCTCAAAATGGCTGTACGGATCTGGATGAAATTTGGTACAAAGGTAGGTTATACAGGGTGACTTCGAAGTTGAGTCATTTATTTTAACAGTGAGTAGATCTGATCAAAAGAAATGTTTTTTTCCTTTAACATTTTTGTGGTAAAATTAAAGTAACAAAGTTATAGCCCTTTAGAAGTTTGAGTACCGCCCTGTCTCAATAATAATACTATGTGCTCGTGTTTGGCGATAACGTATATAATCCGCCTTATCGGTTCATCGCATCGGAAACAAAAAAGCGAAACAATTTGAAACGCTGATCACGATGTTTTTATTCAGTCAATGTGTCATTCGGTAACGCGTGAGTGAATAGTGGTGTTTGCTGCGTGGCTCAAACGAAATAAAAAATGGCAAACGTTTACGAAAATGCTGAACTGGTGGACATGATTCTTATTTACAGTGGGGGGAGTCTTTACAAAATGCTGCCGCGGCATCACGGATTTATGCGGATCGGTTTCCCAATCGAGTGCAACCACCCCTCGTGCCTTTGTTAATGTAGTACAACGGGCTCGTGAATCAGGTGACTTAAGACCTCACAGGGGAGGGCATGCCGGTGCTCCAAGACCTCACGATCAAATACAGGTCCGCACTGAAATACTTGTCGGGAGGATACTTTATAAAACAAGGTAAACTTTTTTTTATTTATTTTTTATTTTTACACACATATTTTGGTTTAATTTGCTTCTACAATCATTATCTGAAAATTAATGACTCAACTTCAAAGTACAGGGCGGCCCATCCATGTGTGGACGGAATATTACTCATAAACAAATCTATTTATGGGATGTTATACATGACATTTGAGGGCACATTTCTAAAATATTGGCCATTATACAGGTTGTCCCAATTTCGACCTAGTTGCGATTTTTCAAATAGAATACCACCTATTTTATTGCATATTTGGATAGACAAATTCAAAAGAAGAAGATTGATATAAGATACTATGGGGTTTTGGTAATTACCTACTGAGATGTAAGGTGTTTTGTCAAGAAAAACCGTCTAATTCGGCAGCCACTCAGTCCGCCATTTTTAAATTTGAGTGCTGAATTTTGTATCAAAAAAAACTTACACACCTCAGCTTTTATCTTATTTGTTACTTTTAAAAATTTAACATGCGACAAATCATCCTGTAATATTATCACGTCACTTTGGATCACCCTGTACATAAATATCTACTGAACGATCTATTTTTCGTTATGTACCTGTACACGTGGCTTCCTGTAAATATTATTGTCAGAGTGACTGGCCTGCTTTGGAAGGCAAACCTGTTGTTCGAGCAATCCGGATCACAAACGAACGGATATAGGAATATCTGCTATATCCTCGTCCACTTAGAGGAAGTTGGCTTGATGAAATCAGGAAGTGAGCTAAACAAAGGAACTCTTTAGCGGCACATCATCCGAAAAGACAGGCAGACATAACAAGTGATTATGGTTAATCAAGTCGAGTTCACGTCGAGCGCA